GAATTAGCTAATAAAGTGTTTTTGTCCTAGGTATATCAATCACGAATATACCATGTTAAGCAATCGTTTCTAGTCAAACAGACATTTACCTATTTATAGAGATTTCTATATCATGCCCTCCAAAAAATATTTCTGAAAACCTTTTAATCTAAAAACCCTACTTTAGAATTCGTTGAAGCTCGTTTAATTAAAGCAATGATGACGACTAAAACAACCAGATCATAAGGTTAGCTTGGTTTCAAATATAAATTAAATTCGTATAAATTGTAAGGCAAGGACACCATATATTTTTCACCAACGGAGCAAGAGCAAAGTGCAATCATCTTATATATTTAGACCTCAAAATTAGATCGGCTAACCATTGAAACCACTTTATTGATGAATAAATAAATTCGAACGAAGTAATCCAAAATTTATAAAGTTTCTGGTGGAGGGAAAAGACATGTTGTCCGCACGTAGGTCCAGGTAGTGCGCGTAAATCAAATGGCTATTTGAGCCTTGCTTCCCTGGCGTTCTCCGTCATGGACTCGCTGCACCTTTATGACTCGCTTCCACCTGTTTCAGATATACCGGTTCTCTCTCTTAGCCAGTTGTTTTCAATACGAGATAATATTGCAGAACACCGAAACTATTGTTCATTAGAATTTGCTAGGGAATACAACAAATTTTTCGACTGGTGCACTCATCTTAAGTGCTTTGATGAAGATGAACCATGTAACTTAAGCGACAGTGAAATTGAAGCAGCTAAGTTAGTCTATTGTGTCTCTCGCATCTCACTTTACCTTGCGTATCTTCGCATTGTGCCTTTATGTTCCGTTGACATGTTTTGTCCGATCTCTCCTTTAATGCAATAATTTATTTATTCTGCCTATGCTATTAAAAATTTTATTTTCGGATCATACATTCAAACTAAGTATCTTTTAACTCTATAGAGGTGCTTGGTATCGTTAATTGTGTTACTTTATTTTCGCCTTTGGATACTTTCTTGACTTATCTGGTCGTTTTGAGGGTAAACTCGCATAGGAAAGATGATTATATTTGGTCATTTGGGATTTAGTATACTCGCTCTTACCATTCTGTTACTTGCTTATTCTGGTTATCTGATATGCGTTAGTAGTCATATTTTGTTTTATTCTAAAATTTAATAGCTATTTGATAATTAAATTTATTATATTTATATTATTTGTTTGTTGCAGGCTTCGATCATCTGAAGCTAAAAAAACATATGATGTCGCCGGATCTACTGATATTATCAACTCATCCGTATCACTATCTACAAAAACTACTCCTGGAACTTGGACGACCACCAATGCCTCAGTTACTCATGCAATTTCAGAGTATGCATCCTTGATTTCTACCTCCACGTTGGCAACTGAGAAAATTGTTTCGGGAGAAAAACCTCATCCTGTCTTTGACCTTATGCAATATATTGGCTATAATGGAGTAAATATAGCAAGCATTCATTTCTCGTATGCTCGTCATTTTTATTCTTGTTTGAAATGCCAGTCCTCTTGTCCAAAATTTTCTTCAGCCTATTGCTCTTATGGATTGGATGTAATGAATTATTAATAATGCTGTGGCCATTTTGCTCAAGGGGTATTAATGGGTTACTGAGGCTGCGTTTCTTTGCGTATTTATTTTGCTCACTGATTATTGATCCTTCGTTTCCGTATTTCTAAGATTATTTCTGGTGATCATTTTGCTAATGGCAAATTTACATTTCTATTCACTAGAAATTATTATTTTCGTTTTCTTCTTAATTTTCTGGTTCTACTTTTTGGTAAATCTCGCTCCTACAGACTAAGTGTTACGATGACCATCTCTGTGATCAACCCCAGACTGCCCAACTCAAACATTCGCTTTTGGGCGTGATCTGCTTTCTCTTGTGTCTTTTCGGCACCGTAACTAATCCACTCCTACTGCCTGCTTTCAATACTCGTGCCAACCGTTCTGGCGCGACATTATACTTGACTGGGATGGGTGTCTGCGACACGATATATCTTCTAGTGACTACTTTTGCTGTTGTACTGCGTCACATTCCAGCTGCATTTCCTGACCAGATGGAGATGTATGCTCGCATCAGCGGCTATCTTGTTCCAACTGGTCTGCCAATCATGCTCTTCTGCGAGCTCACTGTGGTACGTAATGTTCTTTCATCGCAATTATTGTTCTTTTCATATCAAGATTATGTTAGTCGGCCACTATTCTACCTCATTTTTGACATTTACTTAAGCAAATCAACATTGCTGTAGCAACAGGCTTCCAAAAATTGTTTGCTTTCAATGTTTAAGGCCCATTTATTGTACGACTCCTTTCTATCCTCATAAAAGTGGAAAAAAATCATTTACCAGCAAGTTAAAATAGTAAATTGTAAAAAAATTACGTGATATCTAGGTATTTCATTTTTTGTGGGAGATCAGATATGCTTATTTATATCAATATGTTGTTAGACCAGATATTGAGTTTAAGTAGTCTCAGTTAAAGAAAGCATTTGTAAATTACACCATTTATTTAGGGCCAAACCACGATCATACAATACTCCCAAACACTTGATAAGCCAATTTATATGGCAGATTTATTATAATATTGTGGATCATTTGAGTGGCACAACTGAACATTTAAATTCTAGTCAAAGATCCTACTAAAGGGCTTAACACTAGGATACCCCTAGGGGTGTGAATATGGGAGAAAAGTGGTAACTCTGTGCTGACGATGGCACCTCACTGACGATGTCGCGAAGCGTTTGGGATTGTACCAAGTAAATGTTCCGAAGCTGGAAGTCACGAATAATATGGCAGAAGACACAGGACTAGGTACATTTCTCCCTGTTGCTCCGACTAAGTTGCGAAAATGAGGGCAAATCAACATCATAGCAAAAGGAAACTGCGACCAAACAAAAAGCCACGCTACCTTGGTCTTTATATCTACGATTTAATCACGTTTGTTTTTAGAAATTTCCTCACGTAGAATCATT